TTTTATATCTGATATAGATATTTGCTAGAAATTTCCAAGAATTCTTTAATGTTAGGTATGACCCACCCGAATTGGTAATAGCCGATATCAGATGCTACATCTTAATTATCACGGGGCATGATCATCACGAAAATATGATATTTAGTAACCTAATTTTTTGTATATTTTAAATTGGTATAAAGTCTTTGATTATAACTCTTAATTTTACATAATAACTTGAAATAAAATTTTATATATTAATTCTTGAAAACTATATTAAACTGCTTGCGAATTATTATAAACAGATATTGGCTTAAGCTTTTTAAAATTTAAAAACAAAATTAAAACCTAGTTTTTTTTTTTTAATTTTTAAAAAATTGACCAACTTTAAAAGTTTTTAAAAAATTCTAAATAAAAAAAATAAAACATAATTTTTTTATATTTATATTATTTAGATCCTAGAGTTTTTAATTTAATTTATTTTATAATTATTTAATATAAAAAAAAATCATCTTACTATAACAATATTTAAAAAAATCAAATCGATGTACGATTCTTTTTGAAACAGCCTATAGTATATATTTAAATCCAAAATTACTTGCTTCTAAATTAACCCCTCATAAAAAGATATATCCCAATATATATTGTATATTTTATACAGTATCAGGAATAAAAAATTTTTACTTGACCAGCGATTTGGTTTAACATGAGTTCTGCAATTCTGATCGGTTGAACCTTATTTTAGCCAATCAAAATTATATTGCAATTTGGCCGTAGAATATATCTGATATATACAACGAGAATTATCCAAAGGTTTACAACGATAATGCTACTAATTATCATTTATCTGTTTCGATTAAAATAATATATACTGTATATAGTCATGTACTAATAAAATGCAAATAAGAAATCTGCATCACTATTTTTTTTTTTTTATTATACAATCATACCCATTTAACAAAAAAGAAGACATATATTTGAATTTAGAAATTTTTTGTTTTTGATACTATTTTTTAAAAAAACATTATTTTATCTAAAGTAACGAGCCAGGCCTCTAAAACATTTCAACAAATTACAATTTATCCATAAATTTGTCAAGAGACGGGATATCTTCGGAAAGGCCTTTCCTTTTCCTTACGGCTTTTACGATATCACAGACTTTTCCAGCTTCTAACGGTGTTCCATTCATTAATTGCCCTATGAATCGATTTAAAAAAACAGTAAAGTCAATATTAAAATCACAAAGAACCCAAATAATGACAGGAATGAAGAGAAACTTACAATGTGAGAATACACCTATAATAGTTTTTTAATAATAACAATAAAATAAGTAAATAAATAAGTAAATAAATAAGTAAATAAATAATTTTTTATTTGAAAAATAGCAAATTTTATGTGAAAATTTACATTGAGGGAACGCTTGACCACCAGTATTTGATCGTAGGTCAGCTGTAAAACCAAACGATTCGTTTACCTAACCAATTAAAATGAGGTTAAATAAAAGTCAAAGTTTGTAAATTCAAGTGAATTTGCAGAATTATAAAGATATGCAGGATACTTACGGGTAAATAAGCCTTGACATTGTATAATGGAGTACCAGGTCGCTGTTCTTCAGCAAAAACGTTACCACGGCGTCTGTTTAATACACCATAAATACCGCCCATAGCCTGTTCCGGGCATTGAATTTCAACAAGATAGACTGGTTCCAAAAGACCAGGGTTGGCGGTTAAATATGATGCATAGATTACGCGACGACATGTAGGGATAATTTGTCCACCACCGCGATGAATAGCGTCAGCGTGTAATACTACATCCATAACATTGAATCGACAAGAACGCATGTTTTCTTCGGCACAAACGCCTTCTTTTGTAGCCCATTGAAAGGCAGCAACACAAGAATCCTTAATTTCATTAAGATATTGAACACCCTTTGTTACATCTACTAATAAGTTTGCTCCGACGGATTCTGGACCGAAACACCAAATCTTACGAGCATCTGTTACATCCCAGCCAAATTCTTCAGCAAGGATACGAGCACGTGCTTTGAAATCATCACGTGGTGTAATCTTTCCAGCTTCAATAGCATTGGCAAGTTCATCTTGCATTGGAAAGGCTTTCATATATAAACGATTGTGTTTATTGGGTGATTTAGATAGTGCAGTAACAGTTGATTCGGCTTGGACAGTCTCACAGTATGATACCACAGGGTCACCGGTTTTTATCGGAATTTGGGCATGATCCTCTTCTAAATCTTTCAAGCAAATTTCTAAATGTAATTCACCAGCTCCTGCTACAATATGTTCACCAGATTCAGATGTATAACATTGGACGCAAGGATCAGATTTGGAAAGACGTTTTAATCCTTCTACTAATTTTGGTAAATCATTTGCGTTCTTCACATCAACAGCAACTCGTACGACGGGTGAAACTGAGAATTTCATAACCTTTAAGTTATGCGCACTTTCAGAGGTGGTGATGGTTCCAGATTTGAGTAAATATTGGTCAACACCAACAAGACCGACAATATTGCCGGCTGGACAATCTTCAATAGGTTCGACATAACGACCCATCATGAGAATAGTACGTTGGATGGACTTTATAAATAAATCTTCCTTTTTTCCAGGTTGATAATTAGGACCCTGAATACGGACTTTAAGACCAGATCGAACAGTACCAGAAAATACACGACCGAAAGCGTAGAAACGACCTTTATCTGAAGTCGGTACCATTTTAGATATGTACAACATAAGAGGTGCGCTAGCATCACAATCACGGATACCAATGGCGCATTCATCATCAGCGGGACCTTCGTACAACATTTCAGCACGATATTTTTGAGCAGTTACAGGCGATGGAAGATGAATAACTATCATTTCTAGTAAAGCTTCTGCAGCAGGTAAGAATTTACGCATGACAATCTTTAAGAGTGGTTTTCCTTCTTTTTCTCTTTCTTCTGCAGTAAGTTTGATATCCAATTTTTCTATCATGTTAGCAGCCTCATCTTTTTTGAAATTCATGATAGCATCAAACAATTTGAAGATGGGTTCCAAGACGAACATGCAAAATGCACGTTCAAGAGGTTTGCCTTCAGGGGTATTTGGTTTCGTAGTCCATTTCTTTGTAGCAGGATTAAAAAAATTTTCACCCCAAAGTTTTTGCATCATTTTTTCTTGATCAACACCAAATTTTTTGGAATAACGTTGAGCAAATTGGCGTAAGGTGAAACCCCAGCCATGAAGGCCAGAACCGAATGCAACAGTACCCTTCTCTGGGTAAACTTGAATTTCACCGAGAGATTTGTCAAAGTACGTTGAGACAATGACATTCACTGATTCGATAGTACGTTGGAATGACTAAATCGTAGTCACGATGATGTTAATTATATATTTAAATGAATTGTTATATCACATGCTTGAAAAGTAAAAATGAGAATATATATATAAACATACTGTATACAAGTCCTCTTTTGTAAGTTGTAATTCCAGCAAGGCACGATCAACCTTATTAATAATAACTACAGGCTTGATACGTTCTGTAAGAGCCTGACGTAAAACAGTTTCTGTTTGTACACACACACCCTCAACACAATCTACGACAACCAGAGCACCATCGGTAACACGTAGAGCAGCAGTAACTTCCGAAGAGAAGTCGACATGTCCGGGGGAATCGATCAAGTTAATCAAGAATTCGTTACCTACAGAGCATAGGTTAATATATCGAATTAAGAATTCATGAGCACTGATTCATATACATAAACTATCTTACCTTCGGTCTTTTGTTTTACATCTTGAAGATCATCCTTATTCAATTCAAAATACATTGAAATAGCCGTGGATTTGATTGTAATACATCGATCTTGTTCATCCTGACGGGTATCAGTAAACCGCGCTTCACCAGCTTTCGCCGATGAAATAATACCGGCTTTAGATACCAAAGAGTCGGTAAGTGTGGACTTTCCGTGGTCAACATGCGCAATGACCGACATATTACGCACGTTGGAAACGCGGTCCATCTAATGTTGAGTACATAAAATGCAGATTTTACTATTGATAATTCTCGAATTTTTTGGGATCTCGCCGATTTTTTTTTTTTTTACTAAATTCTTCATAAGAACATCAGTTTACTTACAAGGGCACGGATTTGATCTACTGTGAAGTTCACCTATTATTCATTTTGTATAAGAATGTTTTTAGTTACAAATGTCGAATTTACAATGCCAGATTAAAAATTTTTTTTTTCTGAAATACAAGCAAATTTACAAAAAATAAAATAAAAAAAAATAAATTTTTTACCATATTTTCGCTTTAATCAATAAACGGGAGGAAAAGGAAAAGGAAATGGCAAATTTTATTAGGGACCGTAATGCGAGAATCCCGCTCACAAGAAAAAAGGAGGATTTCTCGTACGTTTTATTAGAGACCCTTTTATAAAAATTTTTTTTAAAAAATTTTGTCCTTCCATACTAAGCTGTACACTGCAGCCGCAGCCGATTAGTAACATCCGCCTAACGCTAAATCATTGATCCGCTGAATTAATAACCAAGTCACGTACACGTATCTAGATTTTTTATACATAATTAATATAGCTATATAAATTTTAAATTGCTTGACAAATCCGGTTTGAATAATATTTCAAAAGACACGCCACAAATATAATCTGAATCAATTGTTACAATCTCGACGATTTCCTGCGCCAATCCGGTAAATCGCAAGCCAATGCGTATTGTAACTGGCAGTGACCTAATTCACAGATCGGATCAATTTCAGATCAATCCGGGTTTAATTTCGGTTACTTGGATAAAATGTATCATTAGTGTTAGCGTTAGAATTTATAGTCCCGGATCCGAACCAATAATTGGATTCAATATTGATCCATTCAAAAATTAAATTAATATACTATATTCGAAATAATAAACATCGCCAAAGACCGATGCTTTAGAATTACATCAGAAAATGTCATAATCAACGAAAATACTTTATTTATAGAGAAATAAATATTAAAATGTTACATTGTCACTTGCTTCACATTCTTTCCAAAGGTTTGAGACCTAGTAATTTGAGTGCATTTCCTAATGTTATCCTGGTAGCCCAATACATAAGCAACCTCGCCTCGGCTAATGGACGTTCTGCACCCATAACCCATAGAGTTTCCAACGTTACAGATACATGATGACTTAATTTCATTGCATATGTTACAATCGTACAAGGTTCTAACGTTTGTAAAGCAGTCTTGACAACATCAGGATACTGAGCAATCAGGTCAATGAGCTCGATCGCTGGTTTTTCTTTTAGAAGAGTGAAATCTATTTCCGGATTGAGTTCAAAACTACAATTACGTTCGATTGAGCAAAGGCGGGCGTGGGCGTATTGTAAATATGGACCAGTATCCCCTGTACAATTTAATCCGTGTGATTAACTCACCATATGGTTTATAATACAGTTAATAATATGCACACCCCTAAAATAAATTACCGGAAAATCTATTTTTTTATTAAAGTATATAAAAGAATAGAATTTACGCATCATATGAAAGTTTAATTTTTTCACCTACTAAAGTTAATAACACTTTTAGTTTTTTAGAATTTTTTTATAAGTAAATATTCTAATCGGGAAGCTAGCTTTAGAATTTTCATATATAAAATATGCATTTTATATATAAAATTTTGAGCCCAATTTCTCGGAAGATTTGCTTATAAAATTTTTTTATTTTTAAAAATCGTAATTAACTTTAAAAAGTTACTAAGTAAAAACTCTTTTATATACTTTATCAATTAAAAAGAACATTCCGGTAATTTATTGTAGGTGTGTATTTTATATCTTACCTTCAAAGGAAAACATTCGAGTCCAATTAAACGTATAATTACGAACCCTAGGAAATGACATGTTAACACGTAATTTCGCTTGCAATATAATCTTCTGTTAAAATTACCTCTTCGCAGACATATCCTGAATCATTACCGCAGAGATACCAATTATATCCGAAACGTATTCAGGATTTTCGATTTGTGCATATTTTTTCTCGTTCTGTTTCATCACTTCATGCATGCTTTCTTTGGTTTGTTCGAGGATGTCATCCAAAAAAACTGCAGTTCCTTTACGAGTGCTCATTCCATTCACCAAGCCAAAATTTATATGCTTGCAACGATCAACCCAATCGAAGCCCATTAATTCTAAAATTTTAAAAAGCTGCTTAAAGTGTAAATCTTGTTGAGATGCCACAACGTAATACATAACGTCAAATTTGTACTTTTCATATCGCTCTATAGCAGCACCAATGTCTCGAGTAATATATAAAGTTGTGCCATCATTTTTTTGAATCATTGCTACATCTAATTTATTTTCACTTAAATCTACAATTATTGCACCGTTTGATTCCGTAGAAATATTTTTCTCCTTAAGTATTTCTAATGCACGAGACATGCTCTCATTACTAATTTGAGACTCGCCAGAATAAACGTCAAATTCAACGTTGAGACGAGCGTAAGTATCTTTGTACCTTTCTATACTAAGATTTTTAAATTTTTGCCATAATGCAAGCGCAGATTCATCACCTAAAAAAAAATAATAATAAGGCAATTATTTTACATATCATTTAATACTTACAAAATTTGATCGACTGATTATATGTGTAAAACATACCAGTTTCCATTTTTTTGAAATAAGCACGAGCTTGATCATCTACATTGGAATCTTTTTCGATATCAGCCTACGTTGATATTTCATAATTTTATTAAACATCATTAAGTTCGGGTGTTTTACGACTCCCATTAAAAAACCTACATTAATTTTGACGTACACGTCATATAGATGTTTAATAGGATGTTTAAGTAATTCTTCTTCAGATCCATATTTCTCAAATCCAATAGCTAAAAGGCCTAAACCCCCCAAAAAAATGATTAATGTTCTTTCGGGGAGAGGAAAAACGCGAAAAATGAAAAAAAAATTTACCATATTGTTTACCCCAATCACCAAGATAATTCATGCCGATTGTTTTCCAACCGTTCGCTGCATGTACATTTCTAACAAAGTTTCCAATAATTGTACTACGTAAATGACCAGCGTGGAATGGCTTTGCCATGTTTGGACTGCTAAAATCAATAAGGCAAGTTTTACCAGCACCCGATTGATTTGTACCATATGTTTCCTTCTTTTCATATATGTGCTTAAGAAGTGTTTTTGTAAGTAAAGGATGATTATATTTGAAGTTCAAGTAATGACTAGCCTGTGATACGTCTATTATATATTCATTAGGAACGAACTATATATAATTATAACAAAATTAATATGAAGTTTAAAAAATAATATAATAGTTAAAATAGATAATGGGATTTATCTTTTACTTTTTCTATCCATTGTTGAGCCAATTGTGCCGGATTACCCTGAACACGTAACCTAGGTACAGCAAGTGTTATGTAACCAACAAGCTCTGGGTTTTTAGGAACTTCAAGTACCCCAAAAACTTGTTCCGGTGTTTTTCCAAAAAATTCAGCTACCATTGAAGCTATAGCGCCTCTAAATGGATCCAATTTATTGTTTTCATAATCGGCACCTTTTATATCAGGGATAATTGCAGCAGAATCCATCATGAAATTTTTAAAACCTTTAAGTGACGATATATAACGGTTAATCGACAATAATCTACTAAAAGCCATCGGTGAGCAATATTTATAAATATTTTTGACCGATTATCATCACAATTTCTATGCAGAATCCGCAGTTAAATAGTGTATTATTATTGGATCATCCACTATGAGGCGTAGGTAATTGTTTTACGTTCTCGATGCTTAAAAATTGATTACATATTCGTGCATATATGAAATCGCGTATATAATCTTTAGCAGTGAATAACTTTGACTCACTGGCTATTAAAACATATAATTTTTGTCAATGAATAACTTTGACTCACCGACCCATTTTGCCCAAAATATCAATGTAGGGGTGTGAATTGGTTCCGCAGCAACACGTAACTATGGAGAATTTGTATTGGTTTTCCGATTAGGACTAAACGAACAGTGTACATACAAGAAATTACTCAACTAATACGTATTTTTTACTTTATATATATATATATATATTATTTATGATTTCAAATTTTAGCATATCGATATACTGTACAGTATTAAACCATTCAAATATTAGTAACAGATATAACAGTATATATTGGGAACCCACAGCAAAAGATGGCATTGGGACATTTTAGCTTTAGATTTTGTTATAATCTCACATCTATGATCTAAGCCCTTAAATGATAAAAAAACGTTTGCTTGTTTATACGTAACGTAAAAAAGCAAATATTGTTATCATTTAAGGGCTTAGATTAGTAGATATGAGAATGATAACCATATGCTTCAAATGCTAATAACTTTTAATCTACTGATCCGTTTTGGATGGTTTAACTATCAAAATGCTCGCCTTGGTGAGACGATTCTAACGAGCTTAAAATCGAATTACAGGATCCCAAGATCGATCAAATTTTGTGTGATTTTAATAAAAATTACTATGTAAATATCTTTGACGTTGAATAACTTTTGATTCACTAGTTTGTTTTGGATGATTTAACTATCATAATGCTCGCCTCGGTGAGACGATTCCAATGAGCCTAAAATCATCAAAATCCAATCACAGGATCCCGAGATCGTTAAAGATCAATGTCATGTAGACAATCAAAAAATGGATTGGATTTTTATGCATATATGTATAAGGTGAAAGAAGGTAATTTGGCGGTGGGAAAATGGCGGATCAACTTGTATTAAAGTTTACACACAATTTATCAACTGGAAGTTAATGATTCTTATACAATTCGATTCGTCTTACCAAGACGAATTAAATGGTGCATAAAACATTCGATTCTGATCAATGGAATACCCTTTAACAAAGAAGCGAGTAATATTGCGGCCGATTGTCATAATACATATCGATATGTACTGTTGCTTCGTTAATTTATTATGTCGATCCAGGTTCATTAAGCAAAAATCTTGTCAATATTTTTAAATTTGGATGGAAAATGACAAGAATATTATTATTCTCTATCACTCCTCCGATATGCCTATTTTTCTGGCAAGCATAAAAGATTTTTTGAAGTGTAGGACTTTATCCTCCTGACCATTGAAGTTACTTCGCACCAATAAAAATTGTGTAAACACAAGCCAATTTGATTTTTTTTTTTATATTAGAATTAAATAGATAGAGAATTGTTATTTTAAAATAAAAATAGCAATTAGTAATATTTTAATAAAGGTTTATTATAAGCAAATTTTGATAAATTTTAATTCTGCCAGAATACCTTCCTTCACCTTATATAAAGCCAATTTATTTATTGGTTATCTATATGACATTAATCTTTAATGATCTCGAGATCCTGTGATTAAATTTTGATAATTTTGGGCTCGTTGGAATTGTCTCATCGAGACGAGCATTATGATAGTTAAATCATTCAAAACGGACCAGTAGATCAAAGGTTATTCAATGCCAAAAATATTGTAATTTATCGATCTCGGGATCCTGTAATTGGATTTTGTCAATTTTGGGCTCATTGGGATCAGTGTTGTCCACTGGAACGTTCCAGTGAAAATTACTGGAACTGGATGATCACTGGACTTAACTGGAACAAATAA